TCTTACAACCCATACTTCCCTTTCAGATCGTTGATTGCTAGTTTGCAGGAAAGACGAGGCCCCTAGCGAGCGAAGCAATAAGAAAATTTTCAGATTAGCTTGAAAAAGCTTTTCAAAGTATTACTTGCAGTCCTTTTTAACAATCGTTTCAACGTTTTGCTATTTGCAAGCATTCTTTTGCTTCATTTAGTTAATTCAATCGGAAATATAGAGTTTGGTTCAATACTTTAATAGTACCCCTAGACCTCGAACTCCTGGAGCAATTTACTCCTCTTGCCCTAATCCCCTCTCGGCAGTCCTGCTCCTTTTTGTATTGCTTTGTATGCTTCAGTTTATTTGTTGTTTTCTACTTTCATTCATTAAGGTTTCCTTGTTCGCTGTTTCGCTTTCAGTTGCGTCACAGTAAAAAACATGCCCTTTTGCTTTTATTGCTGGATGGCAAGTCTCACGAAGTGAGCCCTCTCTGTCCAACTTTGGTTGGTTGTTCTCCTTATTTCCACAATTTCCCTAAGAGCCTCTCTATCTAGCCTACGAACCCTATATATTCGTTAAACTACTACAGACTTTTCACATCCCTCCTTAAGGAATGCAGCAAATTAACCTACATGTTTCTTAAGCTGGTGATCCTCTGATCCTACGATAAAGCCATATTTTCGGGTATAACGTTATTTAAATTTAATAGGTGACAAGACCTATTTAAAACCTGAAAGGTACAAGTTGGCTTAAAGAATAAGCCTACACTTTTTACTTTTTACTGGTAAATTTGATAGTTTACTGGCTGGTGTTATGGTAGTCAATTAGTAACCTCAACCTGTCTTCCTCGCTTGGCAAGATAAATATATTAACTATATCATCCAGACAAGAAGCTTCGCACCAGATGTATTTGTCAACCTTGCTTCTAATCATGAAAATATTGGCATAGGCCGGAGCCAGATTCGTCCTTATGACTGAACCCAACTTCTGTCCGTCTGTCTTGCTTCTGTCTGTGAAATGATTATTCAATTTAAAGATTGTCAACTATACTAGAAAGTGAAGGATTTACTAGATAAGGCTGAGCATTGCATTGTTTCAAATGTTCTTCCAAGATACAATAACTAGTTAAATTTAGAGCAATTTTTAACAGAACACACATTCAGCGAAAAACTGAGTTAATGTCTTTATTTCAACAATAATAGAATGTCAGAAGAACTAGGACTAACAAAACAATGTAAAAGCTGTTTTTAGTAACTAAGAAAATTAAAACTGCAAATTATAAATGTTTCCTGCTTTTTAATTTCAGGTACGTTAAGTCCAACAATTTTCAGCGGAAGAAATTTCTGACAATAAACTTTGGCAAAAAAGATCTTAGGAAAGATTTTGAAATTTCGGACAAATAAACTTTCGGACAAATAAACTTTCGGACAAATGTTGACCAATCATTTGGATTTTTTATAGCAAAACCACGTCAGACTATTGACTCACGCGTGTTTCTAAGATTGTTAATAAGCTTTTGAGAAACTTGAATGAATCTCCGAGTACTGAAAATATGACAGTGTTGAGAAACTTTTAATATCGAAATGGCTGAAATTATTTATTTGGTAGTCTGGTGTAGGAATACCATAGAAATCATGGAAATTTGAAAAACGTCTGAGGTCAGACGAACAGTTATCGAAAATGATCAATTAATAATATTGGGATCTGTGACTACATTTCTGAGTGAAATGGTTGATTTGCCGAGTTTAAGGAATCTTTGCACTCGCAACTAAGAGGTTTACAAAATTAAAAGTTTCGCAGCTCACAGTTACGTAAAAAAGATTCCCCTTCGTAATCAAGTAATTGCACGGCCGCGAGACCATCGTGCTCGAACCGTTTTCTCAGCGTGGGTCGTTAGGGATCGTTAGTGTTGGATAGGCTAGACCCAGACTGCTTTCTACGCGAAGTTCTTTTATTGCATTATTCTTATGTTAATTAGATTGGGTTGTGGTAGTTCTTAGTTACTAGTGTAAATAAGGGTTTTTCGTTATGTTTGGTAAAGAGAAGTCAAAAAAACTGGATCTTGTCGTCTCTCTATATCTCGAATTCTCCACATTCTAACAGTTAGGCACGTTGACCGAACGCAAATGTCCTTCGTCAAAATAAAAAACACAAGCAATCTACGTCGTGAGTACGGCAAGTACGTCGTGAATTCATTGAAAATAAAAAAGGAAGATGAAAAAATACATTAATAGACCTCAAAGAGCCAAAACATCAGAAATTGATACTGGTGATACTGTCCTAGCAAAACAGCCTAAGCTGAACAAATTATCTATAGATTTTAACCCAGATCCTTACATCATAATTGAAGAGAAAGAAACACTGCTTATAAGAAAGGAAACAATCACACAATTACTAGAACATTTGCATTTCAAGAAAGGAACTGAAATTGATTCTGACATAGACGATTAAGATATTCTGTTTATGCCAAACCGTCCAAACGTTCACGCAGCATGATATACGCAACAGCAATCAATAACATATTTTCATAACTGATATCTATGAAAATATACAAAACTCGATATCAAGAAAGCTAACTCAATCCTGGAGAGAGCAACCTTCCAAGCGACAAGCTCTTCTGCCGTTCCAATTACTTATAGTCCTCGGAGTCGAAGAAAATCCTTCAACTCTTCAAGGCCTGAATGACTAACTCTTTAACTAATTCTTTTCCTCAAAGTGAGATCGAAGGGAAGAAAGAAACTTGAAGATTTTGATTCCGATCCCTTAGAAAATAATATTTCTTTGAATACTTCATTCGACAAATGAAACAAACTTTGCCTTTTGACAAAACACAAACCGCGATACAGCTAGTGCGGATATATATGATATTCCAAACGATGTAAAAAAACCAGTCGTTAGTGATTTAACAGTAACATATATAACAACGACACAAGAAAATCGATTAAGAACGTAATATTAATAAAAATACACTTTTACTGTTAGTTTAACAATCGTGCGAACACAAATATACGCTTACATGAAACAAATTGGAGATTGCATTATGGAAGTTATTTCACTGCAAGCCTTACAGGTGCATTGATTTCCGAAATACCAATCCTTTATAAGAATTTTGAATTGATGTGCATTTTTGGATGATTTTATTTCATTTAGAAGAGAATTCCAACTTTTTGGACAAGTAAAGCTAATAGATTTTAAAGCCATAAATGTACCCTGAGAACAGGTAGATTTTCAATTCTTCGAGAATGATAGCCATTAGATTTTTGGACGAAATAGTCTTTCATCAAAGCTGGATTCAAGTTGTACAAAGTTTTGAAAACTTCTAGTGCTAACAGCCTATTAGAGTCAATTAGCTAAAACTACTTGAAAGAGAGCATTTTCCAGCGAGCTTAAAGCATTAAATTTTTGAAATTTTCCTTTTTGGCGGCAACCATGGTAGTGAGGCACTATAAGGGGTATTTGAAATATGAAATAATTGAGATTTTCGGGATGAAATTATAAATATTTAGGTTTTTAGGTCTTGAAATATGAAATAACAAAATAACTAAATACCTCTTAAAACGCTGTGTGAGAATTATCTATTTGATAACAGCATTGACTCAAGTGACTATTGATCTGTAGACCTGTTAGAATACCAACCATATTACACCTGGGTTGTTATTTTAATTTGTTCAATCTTTTTAGGTGTTTAGAAGGCTTTTCTCACGGGTAGGAAAAAATACCAATATCATGAAATGTACCGCAAATACTTTTGGCTTATGTTATATCAAAGAAATAGATGGGAATATCAAATAACATAATAAAAATGTTTTATCTATATTGCTTGTTCCACATATATTTATTAAGAATTCTTCTTAAGATCACTAAAACACTGTTTTGTAAGCCATGTAAGATGCAGGATTTAATTGGTGATAAGAATATTGAGAAAGATATTGTTCGCTCTTCAATTTTCTTATCTGGAGCTAACATGTTCACCGAAAAGTTATTCTTATCTTGAAAATTTTGTTTCTGAACATATCTTTTGATTCAGTATGGCGGCAATAAGTAATTCTAAAAGTGATTATTAGTTACGCAAAAAGATCAAACTATATGGCAATAATACGAAAATCCACAAACACGCAACTGTGAAGAGGCTATGTCTGTTTTTCGAGTTTCTTGGGTTGTTCCAAAAAATAACCATTGTAACTCAACCGAATGTCCCATTAGTAAACTTTAAGCGAGAAACAAATTTTTTTGTGAATTTGAAGAATTTGTAAGCTTTAAGCTTGCGAAAATGATGTTCGTGCATCCATTGCTCCCGATTTTGACTTGTCTGAAAGATTGTTATCAATGCAAAGGTTAACAGTAATCCTAAGAAAAATGTGAATGAAAGATCAAGATGATACAATGCACGAAGATTTCATCAATGTGAAATCAAGAAAATGTTTAATCATCATTCAGCAGACTGCAAAGAATAAGTCAAAGCACAGAACAGACAAAACTAGTTCAAAAAGCTGTCTTATACGCAAGACGATGAGCAGATACCCAGTTTTATATATTGTCGCGAGAAAAAGATAGTCTGGGAAGGACAATAGTGCGTTGTTCGATCTTTTTGCTAACAAATCAAGACAGTACCCGGTTTTCCACATCCACGCAATAATTATTGATGAAAGTATCGGTGCAGCGCTTTTGTGAATACAGAAGTAGTTGCCAACTCGTCGGCGACCTGCATCGCCGACGGATAAAAGTTATATGGCAACCAGGCTTTAGCTCAAAATTTGCCATGCAAGTATCAAATTCAGTCTGATTTCATGCAATTCGTAAGAGTTCCCCTTGCTGAATCTGATACCTTATCAGGGAGTCCACTAAAAAGCACAATAAACTTAAAAATAATAAGTTTTCCTACATTACTAAACCATCTATATTGGAAGTTGCTAAAGGAAGAGTTAATAATAAAAAAATCAAGTTTTTTACAGTAGGCGGATAAAGTATAGCTGTTTATGTACAATTTGTGTACAAGCTAATTTAGGCCTACTTTACAAAAATTTAGAATAAAAAGCAATTAAAAATGAAAAGTTAGTAATTATATATATACAAGCTAATTTAGGCCTATTTTGCAAAAATTTAGAATAAAAAGCAATTAAGAGTTATTTTATAATTATTAAAAAAAATTAGTTATTAGTAATTTAAAGTTTATAGTTAGTTATTTAAAAAGCAAGTAAGAGGTATCACAGTTATTTATATCTAAACATTTTCTTTGGGTGTTTGTAGTGTAATTCAAAAATTTTGTTTTGATATATGACGAAAGGGCTAAGAATATTTCATTACCCTTTGAGGAAAATATTGTTGTTAGACTCATGGGAGATTTGAATGGATCTGCTATAGCGGTTAAAATGGAATCCAGGTATATATTAACAGCAAGATAAAACACGCAAAGCAATAATGAACTTTTGTTCATAACTTGCATAAAAAGGGCCGAAATCGCAGTATGCACAGACGTTCCATGAGCAAAGGAAGACAAACTTGACATAAGTGATCTGAGGTATGATTTTCAAGGAATATTTTATACACTGCTTTGCAGTATCAGAGCATTCCTTGTTCCTCTTCTATTTAACTTATGCATTCATGGTTTAATTTTCGAGGTAGCTGATACTGCAGTTTGTGACTTTGCTGTTCATACTTAGATTTTTGCAACTGACTGTCATTTAGAAAAAGTTTTAGAACGGCTAGAAACTGATGCCCTTGTTTTGTCAAAGTGGTTTCCTGACATTTATATGAAATAGAGTGGAGGACAGAAAGAGCCAATCGAAAAACTGCCTGCCCTTGTTACAGTATCTCTGTTTATGGAGTTTGAACAGATTCATAAAACCTCAGTCTAGCTACTGCCCTCTAAGTTGCATGTTCCATGACAGATGTCTGAATGCTGAAATGAATCAAATCAAAGAAAAATCCCTCAGAATTGTTTATAAGGCAGTCATGTTGACTGCAAAACATTGCTTACATCAGAAAATGCAGTTTTCATTTACCAACACAATCTACAGTTCTTGAGGATAGAAGACTACAAAACCAAACATAACCTGAACCCTAGTTTCTGAAGTGAGATTTTTGAATCAAGAAATGTACCTTATGATTTGTTAACTGAAAATAATCTTGGCATTCCAAAATTCTTAAAGCCAGGACAATTATTAATGGTATAGGAATTGTGATATATTTAGGTCAAGAGCTGTGAACAACGCTTACTAGCAAAATGGGAGATTCCCAATCATTAGCAACTTTTTAAAAGAGTGAAGAGCACATCCTATATAATGTGACTGTAGAGTATGTGAAATATTTTCATGTTATATTTGTATGTTAAATTTGAAATTTGAAATTTTTCAAAGGTTGCCCATTTATTCAGGACTTTTGGCAGAAAAAAGGTTCCTGAAAAGGCGCAACACTGTACGATTCACAATTGAAGTTACCTTTCCCATGAGATTTTTAAAATCATTAAAACTGATCCTGTGAAGATCATCATACATGATACTTTCATCTTTTTGGCAGCATCTTAAGACCTCTTTGATACATGTGTAAAATTGCTGTACTATTTAATGTGTAATTGCATTCAGAAAATCGTTTCCATTCGCGTTAAGTTGAAAATTTTCGAGAAGATAATATCTTCGATTAGTCTTTGAACATTAATTGGAAATCATTTGACACCTTTTGTAAAGTCAATAGTATTGGCAAAACATTTGCTAATACTTTTTTCTTTGTGGACTTTGGTTAACTTTGTGTGTTGTTAATTTAAGGTTTAAATTTTTCAAAAATTTGATCTCAGTTTAATCGTTCATTCAGCGAAAAAATGACACAGGCCATGATTCCAGCAAAATTTTTGGAAAGTTTCAGGTAGCAGGCAAACTTTCTTCAATTAGATGAAAGATAAAATCGTTAACAGAATCAATGTCAACCATGAGTTGTTTGTATTTGTATTTGTATTTGTATGTGTTGCTACCTAGCATCCGAGAGAGTTTTTAGGACACTGAGAAGCTATGCATATCGAGTTGTTCCAAAAGACTGGAAGATAACATTTTTGTTCCTCTTTTCAAATATTATTTCAGCCTAATTGCGTATTCCTTCTAAAAGGTTACTGAAGTTTTTGACGTCACTATTCCAAATTTTGGTCATAAATAGCAAGGACATACATTTTGAAAGTTTTACCTTAGAACGAAACTCTATTATCGTGAATTTCTTTGCAGCAAATATGAAATCATTGATCATCCTGGTGCTTCTTGCACTTTTTTCAATTGCTTATGGCAAAGCTGTGAAATCAAGGGATGCCCGCTACTTTGGAAGGATTCCCCGATACCACTTAAAAGAACCCCGCCACTACGGAAAGGATCCCCGCTACTATGGAGAGGATGCCGATTTCTACCATGAAAAGGATCCCCGATACCACGAAAAGGATCCACGCTACTACGGAGAGGATGCCGATTTCTACTTTGAAAAGGATCCCCGACAGTACAGAAAGGATGCTTTTTCGGTTGGGATTAGAGAGTAGCTTATAAACATGGAACTGACTTTTTCATGCCATTACTAGTGCTATTAGTAATTTTGATGAATTGATATAGCAATGAACTGAGAATCATGACTTCATTTTGTCAAAATTCTGTGTCTCTTTCTTCTTATGACGAAAATGCAAAATAAATAAATCTAAAATCTATAACAGTACAAAATACATCATCTTGTTATAGCCAACTTAAAGCAATTCATTTTTCAAATTTTTGTCACAATACTGAATCTTGTATTTCTATTTGCCTTTGCAAAAACGATAAAAAGGAAGTATAAAAGTCTCCAATAAATTATTTGACAAAAACCTTATTGAAACACATGCAATTAAAACATACTGACCAGTGGGGTGATTGCTCAAAATTGGCTAGGGGGGGGGGGGGCACCAACCGTTTTGATAAAACCTTATTCGGGCGGCCGAAATGTGATTGAAAATTGACAAGCTATGACGCAGCAAGTTTACGGAACTAATATATTGGGGCTCTGTGAGTGGAACCTAACTGGGATTTTGTGTTTTTTAATTTGACGAAGGACATTTTCGTTCGGTCAACGTGCCTAAATGTTAGAATGTGGAGAATTCGAGATATAGAGAGACGACAAGATCCAGTTTTTTTGACTTCTCTTTACCAAACATAACGAAAAACCCTTATTTACACTAGTAACTAAGAGCTACCACAACCCAATCTAATTAACATAAGAATAATGCAATAAAAGAACTTCGCGTAGAAAGCAGTCTGGGTCTAGCATATCCAACACTAACGATCCCTAACGACCCACGCTGACAAAACAGTTCGAGCACGATGGTCTCGCGGCAGTGCAATTACTTGATTACGAAGGGGAATCTTTTTTACGTAACTGTGAGCTGCGAAACTTTTAATTTTGTAAACCTCTTAGTTGCGAGTGCAAAGATTCCTTTAACGGCAAGAAAAGCCGACGTTTCTTTTTAGTTTTAATTAAAGAAATTGCTCAGAAACGAACAGTTTCTACCAATCTCACCAAAAAAATTTGTAAGAAACTCAGAATTTCTGAAGCAGTTTCCGACATCATAAATCAGTAGAAAGGAACATTTCCGTTTCCACTAAGTGCCACATCAGAAACGTTGACACTTTTTAAAACGGAAACGATAAAAAATCTAACATCTCCTATGCCATTTTTGCAGAATAAATTTACGTTTCCAAAAAAGCCCAGTTTCTTACTTACAGAAAACATCTGAAATTTAACTTTTTTATAGGCAAATGATACAGAATAAATTGAAATTTCCAAGAAATTCTATTTTCTTACCTACGGAAACGGCTCAGAAATCTATCTTTTTTATGCAAATAATACTGAATAAATCTGAGTTTCCGAAAAATCCTATTATCCTATCTCTACCTTTGGAAACGGCTCGGAAATTTCAGCTTTATCTTATAAACATTGATGTTTTTAAAGTTTCAAACTGTTTTCCTGAATAAAACCACGCGAAAAAGATCGGCAGGTTGAGAAAATATCAGATAAATTTCAAAGAAGATGTATCAAACTCATTTCCATGAAAATTATCAGAACATTTAATGGTAAAGACACCAATAATGCTACAAACAATAAAAAAAATTCATATTCTGTATAACTATGGATAAGAATAGTAGACTGACATGACATATATGGACTGTAATTGCCAAGTTAAGATAAGTCAACACTAATAGATGAAACTTTTAAAAATAAACTTATGGAATAAACCTATTTGATTCAGTTCTTATTTTAACCGTTTATATTCGTTAGGAAGAGTGCAGGGGATGAAGATTTATATACTCAGGTGGAAAGTAAAATGGCTGCTTTAATAGCGCATATTTTGAAAAATAATATTAAAGAAAAACATAATTTTTCAAGATTACTCAGCTAAAAACGTATTCTATGACTTATAATTAATTTATCTGTTAATACATTTTCAGTCCATCTACGTTATGGATACACACAATAATTTTTGTGAACGTACTTTGTTGAAATCCTCTACCTTCTTCCAATCATCGTAGTCCTCTTTTACAAATGTTTTTGTTTTCCCCCTTTTAATGGCATTCGTTTCATTGCAGAACTCTTTTATTCCTTCAAATCTGTTTGCCTTTTTCTGCATTTTTTTGCCTCATTCTCTCATCAAGCAAACCAGTGAGATGATGCAGGGCTTCAGTCTCCAATAGGGGGATTTGATCTTGAGAACATCTCCATGGTCCTCTTCGTCTTGTGTGCTTGAATACATCACCACAAAGCTGATCACTGATAAAGGCATTATCCTGCTGCCCAAATCTAAAAATTAAAATTTGAGGAGTAAATCGTTAAAAGCATGTTAAAAATAAATCTTAATTCAGATTAACAGTGTTATTATTGAATCAGTTGTAAATTGTAGTTTGTGCAGTAGCTAACTTGGATGAATTTTCCAATGAGAAATAATTTTCTATTGACCCTTCAAAAAAGTTCAAATGTACATACAAGACCTAGCCTTTCAACAAGAGCTAACTTCAGCGTGCTCTTACTTGTCATTTGAGGAAATTAAGAAAAACTTATCCTCCTTCTATCTATTTTCCGCTGAAATTAATTCAATCCCGCATATATTTATTAGGAATTAATAAATGCACGATTTCATAGTTTTTTAACTTTTTGGCTCCGAGTACTGAAGTTTCTTAATTTTTTCCGACTGTCCAATAGTCGTTTCTTATAGCCACATCAAAAAATAAACATAGTTTAGTAGCTCGTATGTAGTGCTTTAGCTAATTTGTACTTCTTTCTGCCAGCATTCCTATCTGAAAGTCTTCCTGCCAGCATTCCTAACTGAAAGTCTTCCTGCCAGCATTCCTAACTGCAAGTCTTCCTGCCTGCGTTCCTATGTCAAAGTTTTCCTCCCTGCGTTCCTATGTCAAAGTTTTCCTGCCTGCGTTCCTATGTCAAAGTTTTCCTCCCTGCGTTCCTATGTGAAAGCCTTCCGGTCGGTTTAGCTTGTGTTTTTCAGTAACCAATGGCTGTTCGAGTAATCTAATCAATCTTTGGAGAAATTATTTGCTTATGACGAAAAAACGACGAAAAACCGTCAGGAGAAAGTAATTATTGATGTGGCAATTGTTTTGTCTTTAATTCCTATGAGCAAATTCCTGTGGCTGCATAAATCACTCTAAACCATTGTTTGCACTTTTTTGCAATATAGGCAATCTGCAATTTGTTTTTTTTCTAGGTGTTTCATTTTGTTTAATGATATGATGTATTCTCTAACTTGGCTAGCTTGGTTTTTTTATTACCCTCGAGCTAATTCTATCTATTTTTCTAGTTATTGATATCTTCTCTGAACCAGACTGTTTATAAAAATTCAATAGAAATAAGCAAGTATTTTCTAAAAGGGGCGTTTTCCGGCGTTCAAGAGGGCGTGGCCTCAAAAAAATTTCGGTCACACCCATTTCACCCCCTCCACTTTTAGAGTGGTGCACGGTCCCTGGTATGACCCTCGAGGTTGCCAAGAATGTTGACTATGCGTTGTTTTCCAGCGTATGTACTGACCAATAAAAGTGGGCTTGCGATATACACTGGTTAGAAATCCAGAATTGGACTTTCCGACCAAAACATCTAAAAGTGGGAACGAATCATTTTCTTCCTTTTCAAAAGTAAACTGGAGGGCTGGGTGTAGCCTATTAATGTCGTTATAAATTGCCCGATAGCCTCGTTCTGATCATTTGTTGCAAGAAGCCTTCCTGGACGGTCACACATCTTCTCGCCATCTATAAAACTTCCACTCCTCCTCCCTCATGCGGTTTTTAACTAATTTGCATAATAATGACAACAAAACAGAAATCTAAGGTCCCGGATAAAGTCTAACGGTCTATCGCATGCTCTAGAGTCCCGTATAAAAGTCTAACGTTCAAAACAAAGTCATTTTTCTGACACACTCCCCCCATTTGACGTCCCAAAAGGCGTCAAATGTTTAATCATCAGCAAGTTCTCTCTCTTCATCACGAAATGTCTCTCTAATTGTCTCTACCGCAATTGTAGCTGCTTTCCTCTTTGGTCTGAACTCCTTCGCTTGTGCATTAAGTTGTGCGTTCTCTTTATCGTTCACTCTTGCCTCGGTCTTCTTGTGTTCCTCATCACATGCTAGCTCCAGAGGGTATAACATTTGCACTGCCCTCTCTATTCTTGTTTTCTTTGATCTTAGCCTAGCTGCTCTGACAATGTTATCTTTTCCCTTTATAGGACTCTCAACTACTCCAATTGCCCATCCGCCTCTATTCTTCGCTTCACCCTTGATGAGAACAACATCTCCCACTGATATCTGGTTTTCTGTCCCATGATGCACTAGATTATGCTTCTCTCTTAGAGCTTTGACATACTCATTGGAACACCGCTTCCATATGTTTTCTTTGCATCGCTCAAGATATTTAGCTCGTTTTCTTAAATCTCCATCCTTGATCGCCTCAATATCCTCTTGTAGTAGAACGTTATTACTTCCTAGCATCATGACATTGGGTGTAAGCTCTGGCATTTGGATATCGTCCTCCACGTAACATAATGGCCGATAGTTCAGGATTGTCTCTACGTCGAGCATAACTTCTTTGAGCTCTGGAAACTTTAGGTTTGCTTTTCTGATGACCTTGTAAAGAGACTGTTTTACAAGTCCGATTATTCTTTCAAACTGGCCGCCCCACCACGGAGCCTTGCTTAAGTTGAATGTCCATTTGATGTCGTTCCTCGCCAGATAATCGTTGAATCTCTCACTCTTCAGCATGGCTTTTTGCTTCTCAGCGCCTGAAATAAACGTCTTAGCATTGTCTGAATATATGTTGGAAGGTCTACCGCGTCTTGCAATCAACCCTTTCGGGCATGGAATGAACTGCTCTACTGTCATGTCAGTGACAACCTCAATGTATACAGCTCGAGTGAGGCTGCAGGCAAACAAAAGAACATATGCTTTCTTCTCTATCGCTTTCCCACACCTGTATCGGATTGGCCCTGCGTAGTCAACGCCGATCACCTCAAATGGCCTACTCCCCCCAGTTCTGTCCTCTGGTAGAATCCCAGGTGGTGGACTGTTGAATGCTCTTGCATGAAATCTCTTGCATCCTGCACACTTAAATCTCAATTTCTTTACAAGCTTTCTCAACCTTGATACCCAAAACCTCTCTCGTACACTTGACATTGTCATGCTGACTCCCCCGTGGCCTGTGCTTATGTGAGAATCCATCACCAGCTTTTCTGTGAACAGTGTGTCTGAAGGTAGGTAAATAGGGCACTGTCTCTGAATCCGTCCTCTGCACTCTAATATCCCCTCATCATTCTTCTGGATGTTTAGCTTCTGTTCATCTTCTTTGAAACTGTCATTGCTCTTTGCTCTACTCTGTACTCGCTTTACACACTGGGTTATCTGCTCTTGGATTTCAGGGGTAGATAATGGGCCTGATTCTGCTTGATTTCTTTGCTTGTGAATTTCTGATAAATCTGACGATCCATGCTGTGACCCTCATCGCCTTCCAGTACTCGAATCTCTCTAATACTTCATCCAGCTCATTTTTGACAGGATATGCAACTCTCAGAATCTCCTTGATTAGTTTGGACTCCCTCTCTGTGTCTTCACTTGAAGATGTGGCAATATCTGTTGGCCAGTCTTGTTTGGTTTTAAGCCACGATGGTCCTTGGAACCACTTTGGATCAATGCGACTGGCAAGGCAACCCCTGCTCCCAATATCTGCAGGATTGTCGTTTGTTGGTACATGTCGCCATGAGATGTAATCCTTCAACTGATTTTGCGTCACTCGGTTGTCCACAAACTGTTTATAGTTCCCTTGTCCTCTCACCCAATGAAGGGCAACAGTGCTGTCTAGCCAGCCAGTACAAGATCTTACTGGCTATCCTTTAAGTGCTTGTTTCACATTATCGATGAGATTTGCGGCCATCTGACCTGAGATTAGTTCTAGCCTAGGAATGGAAAGTCCCTTTTTTGCAAGTCTTGACTTTGATACTAACAGCCCTTGGTTAATGCCTGAATCTTGCTCTACCACAGCGTAAACAGCTGCTGATACCCCATTGCCGCTTGCATCACCGAATGCATGTAAATCTATGCCTTTGACCGACTCTTTCGCTGGGGTCACGCTTCGTGGTATTTCTATTCTCTCAGGTAATGACTTGATGAATCTTTGCCATCTTTTTTGTAACTGGTCTGTTATCTCTTTATCCCATGATAATCCTTCTTCACATATGTCTCGGTATATTATCTTCCCTGTGAGGAGTACTGGTGAAACTATCCCCAAGGGATCATACACTAAAGCAAGTCCGCTAAGGACTGTCCTTTTTGTAACTCTCTCTGGCATCTCTGGAAAGCTGATTGCTAGGGTGTCTTCCCTTTTGTCCCATGCTAACCCCAACAGCTTTGTCTCATCACTAGTTGTACCAACTTGTTGCTTGGCATACGTTTGGCTTGAGGCTTTGCATTGATCTATTTCCTCTTGGAAACTCTCTAGAGATCGATCGTTTGAGTGCCATTTGTGCAACTCGAACCCTGCTGCATTGAAAATCTTCACTGTTCTTCCCTTTAATTCCTCTAGTTCCTCTGGTCTGTTTGCTGATAACAGCAGGTCATCAACGTAGATGCTCTGTCGAATTTCTTCAACTTCCTCTGGGTATACACTCTTCTTACTGCGGAGGAGCTGCTCATTGGTCCCTCCTAAAAGAAACGGCGATTGGGACAATCCAAATAAGACTCGTGTGAAACGAAGAGTCTCCTTTCTGTTCCGGTCCATGTCTGTCACCCAATGAAATCGTAGGACATCCCGCTCGGCCTCTCTCACTCTTATCTGTAGGAACGCTTGTTTCATGTCTCCGGCTAATGTTATTGGTCTGCTCCGATTTCTGACTAAAATGTCCCAAATGAGATTTTGCGTTGGGGGTCCTGTTTCCAGGCAATCATTCAAGGATGCCGCATTGCTACTTGTCTTGGCCGATGCGTCAAAAACTATCCGGATCTTGGTGGTTTCTGCTGATTCTCTTATGACTGGTTTGTGTGGGAGATAAAATGCTCTTCCTGTTGGCTCCTGGTCCACCACTTCTACAATGCCTTTCTCTTTCTGGTCTTGAATAATCTGGTCATACTTCATGTAGAGATTTGGATCCCTTTTTAATCTGTTGATAAGCTTTTCTAGACGAGCTAGACTCCCTGCTTTATTGTCTGGTAAATGTGGACAATCTCCTTTCCACAACAAGCCTGTTTCAAAGAACCCCTCAGGTTTCTGCTCTAATTGCTCCGCGAACTCCCCAAAGACTGACTGATTTCCCACCTCTCTCTCTCCTAATCCTAAAATTTCAAGGCTGCAGAGCTTGTCGTAATCTACTCTTGATGAACCGGCAAAGAACAAATGTTCTGTTTCTACCTCTGATCCTGGCGAAATGATTGTCCATCCAAACTTTATTAACTCTCCTACTGGCTCTCCTGGTTTTCCTAGCCTTGGTTTTGTTTCTGTCTTAATCTTAGCATACTCTGAAGCACCTATAATTAGATGGATAGGTAGCTCTGCTTTATCATCCGTGTCATCCATCTCTTCTCCGTTTAGATGCTGATACCTTCTTAAAATCTTTGTGTACTCTGGATTTGTCAGTGATAATAACAGCTCTCTCTCTACTTTACTGACAGATACTCCCAACTTGAAATTGCCTCTCAGGTTCTTGACCTCTACACTATAGATGTCAATTCTCTGGTTTGCCGTTGCCATCATCATGTCTATTTGACGATACTCCCTTGTCACTGGTTTAATCTTGAGAATATCAACCAGCTTTGATGATATGTATGAGCTGCCTGCTCCTGTGTCCAGCAGCGCTCTGCATGTTATCCCGTTTACCTTCACTACCACCACTGAGTAGATTATTCCTTGTGCCCCTGTGGCCAACATCACCTGGTTTGGCTGGCTGGTCTTACTATCTCTTGACTTTTTGTCACATACGGATGTATGGTGTCTGTTGTGACAATTTCTACATCCTCTTTTCACTTGACACTCAGTAAAATTCGAGCCAGTAGAATTGAAACATAATCTCTTATGCCGTAAAATGTCTCTCCTTTTCTCAAATTCCTGGACTTTGTTACAATCATTGAAGGGTAAACCCTCAATATTCACTCGCACCTTTGGCAACAAAAGTTCTTTCAGATATGAGAATTTTGCTACTGCATCTATGTTTACCCTGTCTATTTCTGCCTCAAATTGGTTCCAGAATCTGAACCAATCAATGTAAGTGCCTTGAAATTTGGAGATAATCAATTTAGGAAGCTTTACCTTGCTTGATACCTCACCCCCTACGCTTGTTGATAACTTAGGCCCTTGCTTTATCTCCTCCAATTTTCGCTCTTGTTTGATTCTTTCCTCGAATTTTGCCTGTTCAAACTCTGCTTCCTGCGCGAACAGCTTTTGTTTGGCCAACAACAAGACCTTTTCTTCCTCACTCCAATCATTCTGCTTTATTTCTGTCAAAACTCCCTTTAATTCGGCGATAACTGGCTCAAATTCCTTGATTTTCTCACTGATTTTGTTGCTCCACAAACGAACCTCTGTTGGTTCGACCTCATCCTCTAGTTTTAATTCTTGTACCTCACATTTCAAGTCATGAATCTCGGTAATCTTTTTCTCGTATATTCCCAGTTGTCTCTCGATTGACACTTTGTCCTTTCTTGATAAAATCTCGTTGGTTTCCACACTGATAAATTCGAGAAGACGGGTTTTCCCCTGGATTTTCTTCTCGAGGCTCTCAAGTTCCGCTTTGTTCGCCATATCTCACTGTTTCTCGTCTCTTGGGCTCTTCTCTCCCATCTGGGGTGCCACTGTTTCGCGAACTATCGTAGAAGCACGAAAACAAAAATAACTCGCATTTAAAACCAACAAAATCTGTATCAAAACATCGTAAAACTCTCGAAACTTCACACTTTTTCTTTTTCTCTTCTCGCCATCTACAAAACTTTCACTCCTCCTCCCTCACGCGGTTTTTAACTAATTTGCATAATAATGACAACAAAACAGAAATCTAAGGTCCCGGATAGAGTCTAACGGTCTATCGTGTGGTCTATAGTCCCGCATAAAAGTCTAACGTTCAAAACAAAGTCATGTTTCTGACAACATTGCAACTGGTTGATTTGACATATTAAGTAAGCCCGAACGAATTTTAAGGCCCAACAAGTATGTCATAAAACTTACCTGTCAGAATCAGAGACAACTGTCCTACTGGTGTTGTGAATAACATTAACATATTCTATGCCTTGTATTCTGTCAGTTTCTGGTAGACAGGGAAATTGTTGTGACAAACTAAGCAAGTGCCTAAAACCAAATTTGACTTCAGAATATGGTCGTATATTGATCGATTTTCCGAGATGGCAGATCATTACATAATTTTTTCAACTTTCTGACAAACTGTGCTTCGAACTGTTCGGAGATCAAAGAACACTGCGCAAATCGAAGACCGCGCTTTTGCGCTTGATTTGTCAAGTGAATTATTGGCAGTCAAAATTCAGTGAGGGCGTTATATAACGACATTAAGATTTTAAGGTGCTTTAGAAAATTATCACACTCAGCCTCTGTTTTGAAAATGGTATATGTGTCGTTCACATATCGAAAATAGACGCCAGGCTTTTGGTCGTAGTTGAACAAACGCTCTTCAATAATCTGCAAGCCAACAAAGATATTGGCAAAAGCTGGTACCAGAGGGCTACCCATAGCGATACCATCCATTTGTTGTTATATTTGGAATGGTCGGCTATTAAGCTCGCTCCGGTGCATAACGTCGGCAGGGGCGTCACTTCATACTTTTTGTTTGGGGGGTGGTTGCTGGTTGAACATGTAGGGAACTGGCCCTAGGTTCCTGTAACCCAAAAATAAGTCGGAAGGTCACCCGCTTAGGGCCTTCGCTTGATGTCTCCACAGGCTCGCTAATGTGCTTGCCTAACCTAGGGGAGGCGAGCAAGAGAAAGTTTTTTAGTAAATAAGGCAACTCTCCATCCTGGATTCAAAGTGCAACCACTCATTTTTCACAACATACTTTTGATATGCACACGGTTTTCTAATCCCACTGATTTCGCTATACTAGATGTAAAATCACTATACACAAACATTTCTCAACATGAGGTTTTCGGTTATCAAAGCTTCCCTCAACTCCTTAAAAAATTTATTATGGGGAAACTGCCCCGCTGCATATAAAATACAACAAAAGGTGATATTTAATCTCAAACATACATATTGCCTTTACAATCTCTTTTCTATAAGAACAATTTTATAAGGACACGAGCCTCTAAATTAATAAAAAATTAAGAATTAAGAATTTGGTAAAAAATTAAGAACAAGTTAGGAACAAGCTGAGACTGAGTTACTGTAAAATGTAACTTTGAACAATGTTTAATCTAAAAAACGGGGAGCTTTTTTGACATATAGGGGTGCTTCTTCGATGAATTTTCAAACTTGCCGGCAAATAAAGGATGCCTCTACTCATTTTGTTGGCAAATGAGGCTTGAAAACTTCCCTAGAGGGCAATCGCTAGCAACTGCACACCCTAATAACTTAAAATTAAATCAAAAACAATCCAGCCTCAGATTTTCGAAAAAATTGATAACATCTAGGTGTATTGGTGAAGTTAAAAAGGTTAAAAAAGGTGTATTGGTAAAGTTTACCAAATATGGTCATTTTTTCAAACCGGGGGTTACATCAAATTTAAAATTACTGGTACTGCAGCCTATTCTGTATCTATCGTTATTCCTGTTATTGTTTACATATTACAAACACACTGGCAATGTATACAATCAATGAAGGGGTGTGCTTAAGCAGAGGGGAGGGGGCATGTTTTTTTAAATCATTTCAAAATTTTCTATATCTGTTCTTACCTCATATCGTGTTACTGTCCTCCCCGTCGCTGCTATCCTCACAATCATGTCTTAAAATTTATCAGCAGCTGTAGTAGTGTATAGCAAGGCGCCTGTGGTAGTTTAAACCTAAAGCTCCTGCACAGCGCCGCGCGGAGGCTCAGATTGCTCCGCAGCGGCTTTCAATCTCTTATCAAGTATAAATAATTTTATATTTTCTTTTCTTATTTAGTTGTATTAGAATGGCTAGAGTAGTACATAACGTTTTTCAATGAATTGATCCAATGTACAGATATCGTTATATCAAAGATTCGGATAATTTTCTTTTTGATAAAATTCAGTTTCACAACTATGTAGATTGGGATTATACAATGCGGATAAATGCAAAAATTGTAAAAAAGCCAGACATACTGAAAGAGAGAGATGTTGAATATAATACACCTTTACATAGAATCATGGAATATTGGGATGAAACTAAAGAAACTGATTCAATTTTAGATCAGTTTGTTCCTGTATTCATGAATTATGAAGCAGTTTTAAATGCGATAAATATTCGTGGAGAAACACCAGAGATGATTGCAGTGAAGAGAGAGCAAAAATATTATTGTCAAAACTGTTATTAAATAGAGCTGATTTAAGAATTTGTGGTTTTGATGGGAGCAGTATTTTGCATATAGCAGTAAAATCGTTAAGTTTACCAATTGTTCATTATTTGTATAATTGCGCTAGAGTTTTGATGTTAAAAAGAAAAATAAATGTAATTTAATCGCTTTAGAAACTGCAGAAAAGGCGAAAGAATATATTAAAGAATATCCAGAAACAGTTAAGTATTTGAAAGACAATTAAGAATTAATAGAAAATATTATAAAAATTTTATGTTTAGATTGTTTTTAAAATAATATTATTTGTAGGTTTATAAGATAAAAATATAAATTAGGAGTTTTATAAAACTTTGATTGATTCGTTGAATTTTGATTGGAAAAAAGTAAAATGCTGTTCTTTGAAATACATATGATTTTTTGCTTTGCTATTTTTCTTACACTTATTATTTTGATGAAGCTATAACTATAAAAAGTTTTGATGTTATAGTGTCCAATTCGGAAGAGGCAAACGAACTGGCGACGGCTATGAGAAAAATTTTGGCTTAAGATTTCTGCACATAGAAATTCAAGTGTCCAGTTTTTGTCTTGGTAATAAAGTGATGATTTCGGTATATACAGATGATGACAAGTTTTTCAAAATAACTAAGCAACCTGAAATAGCTTGGGTTAGATAATCTGTTGGTGACACTTTGATTTTGAAAGTGTTGAATGAAAATTCTTCCACAGTTATTAGAATGAAAATTACATCAAGTTTCTTAAATATGAAGTAAAAACTCATATTGATGTTTAATTAAAATAATGTTTTTTGAAGTTCTGTATGAGTACTATGCAGATTTGAAGAAAAAATAGAAGTTTTTCCTCGATTATATTCTAGATAAATAAAAAACAAAAAGACGTCTCGCGTCTATTAAACAAGCTCAAAAAATCAACTGGATTATATAACAATTTGGAATCAAGATATATACAAAAAAATTGTAATTACTATAAATATAAAAGGTTAAATGTTATAGAAACAAACTTAAGCGTAAGTACACGATCCAAAGAGAGGGTTATAAAACGTAAGTCCTTTTTTCAATGTAAGTTCGTCAAAAAAAACAGAGGTAACCAAAACCAGAAAAGTAGACATTTATGGGTTTCTCTTACGAGCCCCAAAAATCGTACATTGGTTTCAAATGTTTTTCGTGAATAATGTTTTATTCTAGATATTCATCCAACTCCTCATTTATAAACATATTCTCTGTATCGATGTCTTCCTTATTATTATCATCATCATTTTCTTCTTCTTCTTCTAACTTATCCATATTCATTTGATGATAATAATTATTTTCTGAATATTCAGAGTCGTCATAATCAAAATCTTCACCTTCACTTTCAGCGGTTTTTTCAATCTCCATTTGCTCGGCTTTCAGTTCCATTTTTGCTTTAGTTTTGCCCACGGAACTGGGGGGTATCCGTCAAGAAGTATAAGAAATGTTTTTTAATAAAAAAATTTTTTTCATTGCAAAACAATGTTCACCATCTTTTAAAAATAGATTTTTACTGTTAGCGATGAGATTAGCTATTGAAGAATGTGCGCATTTTTATTATAATTCAATGGGATGGCGATTTTGTTTTTTTCACTTCGCAAGTGGGACTCATTTTAAATGCAATGAAGGAGATGATAAAATTATGCCTAAAAAACTGATGGAGGTAAGAAAAATGGCTTCTTTTACTTTGAAAATACAATTAACTAAACATTTTAAAGTTTCTGAAATGATGTGTTTGACGCCATTACCTAGTAATGAAGAAGAAACATTCGAAGAAATAATGGAAGATTGGCAAAGTAAAAAACAGCTAAAATTGTTTTCAAACTTGAGAAACTTGTATCTCAAACTTGTATATTTTTGTATTATCTACTGGATCTGGAATAGTTACATTGGTTATTTTACCTGGTGCAATAACCCCTCCATGTAAAAAAGAATCGTATATAATAGACAATTTTCTTTTTTTTAAATCAGCTCTATCTACTTTTGGTGTTAATTTCTTTTTCTGGAAACCGCATATGTTCCTTAAAATCGTTCCAAAAACTATTTATTTTTGAAGACAAAGGACATTTTACAGACATTGTAACGTAACTGTCATTATTATATTTGTAAGTTGTTGATGTTTAAAAAATTCCATGATAGTTAATACTCTTCCGAATGCTTTCCGGTTTTATAAAATAAGGATCACAAATTCCAGAACTAATTATCGATTTAGCTCTGATTGAATGTAATTTATCATGACCTCCATGTATTTTTATTATATCATTAGGAATTGGGTGCTTTGTGACGTACAGAGTCAGGGG